CCACTAATACCTAACATCATCTGTTGTCCAGCATTGTCTCTAAACACTCAACCCTCCACTGAGGATCCTACTATTTAGGGTGCTATATTAGGGTCCCCAATTTCGGAAACTCCCATATAGGGGCCTTCATGAACTCGCTATCGTTTGCTAAGCAACATCATCCTCGCAAGAGGCGCTTTGAAGCTTCGCCTCGGCTTCGGCGAGGCAGGGCTTTGCGCAGCCCATGGACTCCACCTTGTGCCTCTGCGGAGACTTTCTTACCTTTGGTTAGTAGGGAATGGAGGAGTGGGATACAATTCTAGCTACTGGTACTACCATTCTTCCATTCCCTACTAACCAAAGGTAAGCTTTGGAAGGGTTGGGGGTGTAGCATTTGGGGTTTCGACTTCGGGGCTTGGGGGTACAGGTGCCGCAAGTAGGGGTTAAGGGTTTGCGCTATTCATCGCCGCTTTTCTGCCTGCGCCCTTGTGTTTGCTCAAGGCTTTAAGGGACCGTTAGCCAGTCAATTGGGAGGTACAAATACAAATGACGACTTAGCCGGCCTTTTGCATTCAACACGACCGACTACCTTTACAATAAGCGTTCCACACCCTTTGTGCGGGATAGGCAGTAGGTGCTTCAGTTGTATAGTTACGCAACGCCTCGTAACAAACATCGTCTGATCCGACTGCTGAATCTTTGGAGAAGAACCCCACTCCCTTGTTTGCGTGCAGCAGCATAAGTTCAAGAAGGGTTTCTCAGCGATTCACGTTGCAGAGGAAGAACGACACAAACGGTCAAGTAAGAAAACTGCTCATAAAAACCAACGCGGTGCCAGGGGGAAGTTCGGAGATTGGTGCAGCCGCAGGTCTCGCCGCAGACCACACGGAGCAGTCGGGCATCTGGCATGCTGCACAAGTCAGCCAGCTCTTCACACGTTGTAGCATGTGGTCTCCCCATCGCCGACGCAGCATTTTTTAAAACGTCCTCAATGATCGGCTGCAAGGCAGCGTCTCCATGCAGCGACCCAGTCTCCAATAAGATAGTGGTCTCCATGCAAAATGGAAACAAGGTCCCAACACTGGAGATCGACCGGTCAACGTCGGTGTCGAAAGAAGCTCTGTCGCTTGAAAACCATATGGTCCGAGGCCAGGTCGTTTCCTGGGCTTTTAAGTAACCAGGAAGTATCAACGTTTAATTCCATAATGGTTCCGTTAAGACAATTATTAAAGTATAGTACTCCAAAGCCCAGTTTCTAGGCTTGAAGGCGTACCCTTTTGAGACAGCACCGATCGCTCGATGGGCGACATCTCGTGTGAGCTTTGCGCCGTCTTGAGGTCCTCATTAGCAGACCCAAGCCCAAGTTGGAACTATTAAGAATTGAGATGCAACCTAAGAATGGCCCAACTCCACCAGATTTCAACCCACGTCCTCTGTTAGCAAGCCCCATGAGATCTGCGTTTCCGTGCTATATGCCACCACAAAGTCTGTCTGGCCACCGCACAGCTCGCGCTTGACTGTCATCATGGTTTCGCAAAGAGGCACAAGCAGAAACAGATACGAAGCCGACACCGTCACCAAGACTGCAAGGAAGTGCAAAAATGACTCCATCTGGCTGCGCCGGTGCGAGTAGCTGACGCTGATAGGCTCGACACTTCGTATCGCGTGCTGGATCTTGATAGGTGTCATGCCCTCGAAGAGGAACTCATCCACATCCAAGATGGCGTTCAAAGCAACCGAGTTCAGCATCAGCTCCTCGATGGACGTTGTCCTGGCCAGCCATAGGATTCCGGCAACAAGCAGCACGCAGGCGATGCCTGCTCGGATGATGTACGTGATCAGCAGTGCCAGGGCGCGACCCCAGGACAGGCAGTGAATCGTGTTGTCGCGGAAGTCCGTCGCACTGGCCTCCAATGCGCGACCCTGGGCCCTAGGCAACGAAAGGTCTGTACAAAGATCATGTAACGATACCGTCTGTAGTCCTGTTGTGAAAACCCTAAGTCATCCTAAGTCTTAAGTTGCCCCCAAGCAATAATAACAGCAATAAAACTAACAATAGCAGCAATAACACCAGCAATAGTACGAACAGCAGTAACAGTTATGTTTATAATAGCAATAATAATAACAACAATTAATAACAATAAGAGTCATAAGTATCCAACGAACATCGCCTGGCCTTGGGGATGGTCGTCGCCGCTTCCAAGGCATGCCAAATCTTCCTGAACTCCTCTCGAAAGTGTTCATGGGTAGGAGTAGTAGTAGTAGTAGTAGTAGTAGTAGTAGTAGTAGTAGTAGTAGTAGTAGTAGTAGTAGTAGTAGTAGTAGTTGGTAGTAGTAGGAGTAGTAGTAGTAGTAGTAGTAGTAGTAGTAGTAGTAGTAGTACTGGTAGTAGTAGTAGTAGTAGTAGTAGTAGTAGTAGTAGTAGTAGTAGTAGTTCTCTAGATTAGGGTACTCTTGTCTACCCTTGTCGTCTGTCACTCTCTCACAAGCAACCTAATTTAGGGAACTAGTTGCCCTTGTGGTAGTCCCAACTCTCACGTCGCGCAAGTCCCAGGGCCATAAGCATTCCCCCGAGTCGGCAGGCATACCAACAATCGAAACCCGGTAGAAAGAGAGGGAATTTTGGCTGGGGTTTGGGGCAAGAGTCTCGGGTTCGACTCTGAGAGCTTGAGGGTTGAAGCGATTTGCATCTGGCTGGCCAGTGGCATCGCATGCAAATGGTGCGACCACACGGCTTTTTTGGGTTCTCGACTGGTTTATCAAGAGGCGAAACCCGGTCTCCTTGTACACGCACAAGCTCCACAGCAAGATGCACAACATGCACAAAAGAGTACCCGGCTGCCAGAAGTTGAAGTCAAATTCGGTCGCTTGCAAGCCCAAGAAGTCGTTGATTTGCTCAACAAGCGTGGCCTGGACAGTGGAGAGGATTAAAGATCCGTCGCCAGCACACACGCGCGAAACAAGGCTCGTTCCGGCCAAGTCAAGGTAACGAGAGTCATGAGCTATGCTTGTCCGCCACGTCTTGGCACTCTGCAAGTTTGTCTCGAACGGATCACCCATGAAGTATTCCGATAACAGAATCTGCGAAAACGACCCCTGCATCAGCAGGTTCAGCAGCACCAGTAGCACTGCAAAGACGTTGTCAAACCAGCCCACATCTGCGAGACCAAGGACCAGGGGGATGTTCCATGCACTTTCCTCGAAGTGCACGGGCGTCGATCTGCCTTCCGTCTTCACTGGGCCAACTTTTTCGGCAGAGCTGTTCGGAGATGAGTCTTGGAAGTTCGGATTGGGTATCTCCGAAAAGGCAAGCTGCTTCTCGACGGTCCCCAGGCGTGCCGTGAGGCTTTGGATCTCTGCTTCGAACTGCTGCCGAAGTTGCCGCAGCCCTTCCTCCACCTCTTGAAGGTGGCTCGGAGGCACCTCGATGGCAATGCTCCGGAACTCTGATGCCTCCAGATTCGACTCCACCTCCGGGTCCGCGATCACCTGCCGGTTGCTCCCTCCGGCTGGGATTGCCGGGGTCGGCATCACGGCCAGAGGCCGGCAGGTGCAACTTTGTCTGTATACTTCTTTGGTGAGGTGGTTCCTATAATGTCTCAAGCTTAGGCTAAGGGTTTAGGGTGTAGCTCCCCATGCCGCAAACTGGAAATAGACAAGGTGATGTGAAGGATGTGAAGGCTGCTTGCAGAGGTCGGTCGAAAATGCTCCTTCTATGTCCTCCTGCTTCCTTGGAATGCTTACGCGCTGCTTCACCTCACGTGCTCGACTCCAAAAACAGCAGAACCGACAACGGGCTATGCCTTGGAGCTCAGGAGAGCTCGCATCTGACTTCCCATGCACACCCACAGCCACTTATAACCTGCTGTCGAGGTGCGCACTTAGCACTGAGGGAACCCATGGTTGACGGGTGCTTTGGGTAAAGCTTGCTTCAGAGTTTGCAGTCATGCCCCGAGGCATATACATCTATATATATATATATACAAATACCTGTACCTAAACCTATACATATACCTGAACATATACATATACACAGACACGCACATATATGTGTATGTGTACATATGTATATATATATATATATATATATATATATATATATATATATATATATATATATATATAGATAGATAGATAGATATACATATATATATATAGATAGATAAATATAAATATAAATATAAGTATAAATATAAAAATAAATATAAATATAAATATAAAAATAAATATAAAGATAAAGATAAAGATAAATATAAATATAAATATAAATATAAATATATATATATACCCATATCTACATCTCTGTATATGTATATGTGTATGTTAATTTGGACTGCTGTGCGAACATCGGGAGACTTCCTTGTGGGCAATCGACACCCCAGAAACTGTTAAACCGCGAAGGTAACCATTTCCCCTCATTGCCATTAAGCTGCTAAGCCATATAGCCGACGAGATTTAGAGAGAGCATCTCATATACCACTACAAAAGTGAGCCGCTAAACTAATGGATTGTGCCTTTTGCATAAGAGGATTGGTTCAAAAGTTAAATGCTTGGGAGTTTTCTTAGGAGGGCCAGAGAAACATACGAGAACCGAAATAGGGGGCGTCCATACAAATACGTAAGTTAATGACGACTAACTAAACAAAAACCGTATACATGCAATGTATATATATATATATATATACACACACATAGTTTAAAGGATGTGCGGATATGCGGTTTAACTACACACACACCGAATTTGAATACAATGCGTCGGTCATCACATACGTGTTGGAATGTTCTTTTCACCACCATCCAATCGGACGCCTCGGCCTGATTTGTGAAGTTCATCTGAAAATATGCCACAGCCTCATGCATCGAAGTCGGGCTTTAACTACCCTGACCCGATGGTGAGTCGCATAAACTCAGCCGCAGAGCTATCCCTCTTGCAGGTCTGGCAGGCCGTATGTAGGTCGACGCGGTGAAACAAGCCACTTCACCACTGATAGGCAGATGCATGACTACAGGCTCTCAAAATGTCAACGGGGCGTGCTGTTTGAGCAGCTGCTGGGGCAGTAGCTCGGCAAACCGTTCGGCAAAGTTGCCGGCCGTCCATCGCGGCAGCCACACTGGACTGGGCACATGGAGGCTAAAGGCCGGAACAGCTGCGGCTGGCCGTCGCACCAGGAAACGCCCGTCAGGAGCTCAGAAGGAACTCTCTCCATGTACTGGCACCCATCAGACAAAAAGCCCCGGGCTGTATCGTTTGCCAGAGCGAAAAGCGTGGTCAGAGCGATGCCTTCTCCGTAGTATCCGATGAGGGCGTCTTCATACTGATGCCAGAATGCTTGCCAACCAGCATCGTTGATGACATCATCATCGCAGGAGATGGTTTGAAGCTTGACTTCTGCTTCGGCCAGGCAGCGCTTGCTGCACCCCTGCGCCTCCACCTTGTGCCTCGGATTTGCTCTGGGAGGTCCTATGACTACGCATTGCACACGCTTCACCGCCTTCGGCAGACAGATTCCTGCTCGAGCTAGACAGGTTCGGGCTTTTCCAGAGTGCTTTCAAGAGGGCCCAAGTTACCACGCGGAACTTCGCAGGTCCGTGCAGCCGCAGGTCTCGCCACATGCCACGCGGAGCAGTCGGGCATCTGACATGCTGCACAGGTCGGCTAGCTCTGCACAAGTCGTTGCGTTCGATCGCCCAAGTGATGCAGCTGCATTCCGGACAATGCTCCCCAAGACCGGCTGCAGGGCCGGGTCCTGGTGGAGTGGGCCGGTCTCCTTCAAGACTGCCGTCTCGACGCAGAAGGGGAAAAGCGTGCCCAGATTCGAGGTCGAGCGATCAATGTCGGTGTTGAAGGCTCGCCTGTTCACTGAGAACATGATGGTCCAAGGCCAAGCCTGCAATTGACTCGAAGGCGTGCCTTTGTGAGACATAACAGCTTGCTCGATGGGCGACAGCTCATAGGCGTCTCGCACCTCCCCAATGGCCTCGTGATGTTGTTTTCAATCGGTTGAAAGGAGAACACATAGGTAAGGGCACGACAACAAAGCCTGTCTATGAACGCGCCAATCTACGTCAAGCTAAAACGAAGAAACTGTCTAGATCCGGTCCTCTGTTTCCAAGCCCCATGAGATCTGCGTCTCCGTGCTGTATGCGACCACGAAGTCTCTCTGGCCATCGCACAGCTCACGTTTGACTGTCATCATCGTTTCGCAGAGAGGCACGAGGAGGAACAGATACGAAGCCAGAACCGTTGCTAACACCGCCAGGAAATGCACCATGGACTCCACCTGGCTACGCCGGTGCGAATACTTGACGCTGATGGGCTCGACACTTCGTATCGCGTGCTGGATCTTGATAGGTGTCATGCCCTCGAAGAGGAACTCATCCACATCCAAGATGGCGTTCAAAGCAACCGAGTTCAGCATCAGCTCCTCGATGGACGTTGTCCTCGCCAGCCATAGGATTCCGGCCACCAGCAGCACGGAGGCGATGCCTGCGCGGATGAAGTACGTGATCAGCAGTGCCAGGGCACGACCCCAGGACAGGCAGTGAATCCTGTTGCCGCGGAAGTCCGTCGCACTGGCCTCGACCGAAGGACCCAATACAACCAGGGAGCTTTCCGAGACGACTTTTAACACTCGTGCTCGAGAAGCTTAGACAAGGGAAGACCTACAGAAGCAGACTCTCACAGCCTGCTCTAGACCCTCTTCACGTGACGTAGATGCAGCTGCGACTCCAAACTGGTGAATCGTTTTTACCTGTCAAACCGGCCTTGGGCAGGGAAGCGGCGGCTTCCAGTGCATGCCAGATCTTCCTGAACTCCTGAAGTCCAAGGGGGAACGTGAGCATCGTGCACTCCAGCCGTTTGTGTCGCATTGCAGCTTACACCACCTTATGATGAATGCCGGTTTGGCAGGGTGCGATGGGCTCCAGCTAGCACAGGGGCAACGAAGATCATGTTCAGCCGCCGAGTTGGATGCGAGACGGGCAGGTTTACTATTGTGATGTGCACTTTCTGGCAAAATAGTAAATGTGGCAACGGCGACACCAGTGCATCGAAGAACTTTCAAGCAACATCAAGCAACCAAACGACGCTATGAATTATCCTTTGGGGCGGCCGCCTCCAATGCATGTCTTGTTCTCAATTCCTGCTATCGACAGCTCCACTGTGCTGGACCACTCACAATAGCATGTAGCCCCTGCGTAGCCAAAAAAATCTGCAGCTGTGACTGTGATGTACGGTCCATGAGATTTGACACGAAACCCTGTACGTTGGATGCAAAACCCGGTGGCCTTGTAGACGCACAAGCTCCACAGCAATATACACAACATGCACAGAAGAGTGCCCGGCTGCCAGAAGTTGAATGCAAATTCCGTCTCCTGCAAGCCCAAGAAATCGTTAATTTGCTCCACAAGCGTGGCCTGGACCGTGGAAAGGATTAAAGACCCATCGCCAGCACACACGCGAGAAACAAGGCTCGTTCCGGCCAGGTCCAGGTAACGAGAGTCATGAGCTATGCTTGTCCGCCATGTCTTCGCGCTCTGCAATTTCGTCTCGAACGGATCACCCATGAAGTATTCCGACAACAGAATTTGTGTAAACGACCCTTGCATCAGCAGGTTCAGCAGCACTAGTAGCATTGCAAAGACGTTGTCAAACCAACCCACATCTGCCAGACCAAGGACCAGGGGGATGTTCCACGCACTCTCTTCAAAGCGCACAGGCGTGGATCTATCTTCCATCTCGTCTTCGGAGCAGTTGTCCGGCGCTGTATCTTGAGAGGTGGGATTCTGCGTCTCTGGAACGCCGAGCTGTCTTTCGACAGTCCCTAAGCGTGCCGTGAAGCTTCGCATCTCTGCTTCGAACTGCCGACGAAGTTGCTGCAGCCCTTCTTCCACCTCTTGAACGTGGTTCGGAGGTACCTCGATGGCAATGCTCCGGAACTCTGATGCCTCCAGATTCGACTCCGCTTCCGTGTCCCCGGTCACCTGCCGGTTGCTCCCTGCGCCTGGGATTGTCGGGGTCGGCATGGTGGCAACGGCTGGAGCCCGTGTGCTCGAGAGCCCGTCAACAGTTTCTCGACAGGGGGGCGCGCAACATCGAACATCGCGCTCGCGCGCGATGACGGAAGCTATACATACAAGGGACCGCCAAGTGATGCAACTGCAAGCGAAATCACCGAAGAATACAGCTAAAACCCTGCAAAGCTTCCTATGATGTATCGATTAACATGCTGTGATCTATCTGTGCATATTGCTGTCTGCTTTTGCCGTCCCACAATGTTTGAGAGATTAAGGGCTTGGGGTGTATGACGCTTTTCTTGTGGCTGATGCTCGTTATACAGCTGGCAGCGAGCAATTCATATGCTGCTTCTTCCCTTGCGCGACATATCTTGAACCTTTCTTCTAAACCGTTGGCAAAGCCTGCAGAGATGGGCTCAGCCAAAGCGCTCTTTAGCTTCTTAGTAGTGTAGCAGTAGTAGCAGTAGTAGCAGTAGTAGCAGTAGTAGCAGTAGTAGCAGTAGTAGTAGTAGTAGTAGTGGTAGTGGTAGTGGTAGTGGTAGTGGTAGTGGTAGTGGTAGTGGTAGTAGTAATAACAGTGGCAGTAGCAAGTAGTGGTGATGGTGGCGGTAGAAATAGTTAGTAGAAGTAGAAGCAGTAGTAGCGGCAGCGGTAGTAGCAGCAGCAGAAGCAGTAGCAGCGGTAGTAGCCGCAGTGGTGGTGGTGGTAGTAGTAGTAGTAGTAGCAGCAGCAGCAGTAGTAGCCGTCGTAGTGGTAATTAGTTGTAGTCGTAGTAGTAGTAGTAGTAGTAGTAGTAGTAGTAGTAGTAGCGGTGGTAGTGGTAGTGGTAGTGGTAGTGGTAGTGGTAGTAGTAGTGGTAGTCGTCGTAGTAGTAGTAGTAGTAGTAGGAGTAGCAGGAGTAGTAGGTAGTAGTAGTAGTAGTAGTAGTAGTAGTAGTAGTAGTAGTAGTAGTAGTAGTAGTAGTAGTAGTAGTAGTATTAGTAGTAGTAGTAGTAGTAGTAGTAATAGCAGTAGTAGTAGAGAAATAGTAGAGAAGTAATAGCAGTAGCAGTAGCAGCAGCAGTAGCAGCAGAAGATGATAGTTAGTAGTAAGTAGCATTTAGCAAGCAGCAAGTAGTGTGTAGTGAGTAGTAAGTAGTAAGCGGTACGTAGTAGGTAGTAAGTAGTAGGTAGTAGGTCGTAGGTAGCAAGTAGCAAGTGGCAAGTGGTAAGTAGTAAGTAGTGGAAGTAGCAAGTAGTGAGTAGTAAGTAGTAATCCGGCTTCACTCCGCTTGCAGTGACAAAGGCGGGGGACACATGGAACCATTAGAGCCATTAGGAACTAGCGACAATGAGCTGGGTTGGCCATCGTCCCAACACGCCACACTCTGGATGCTTTACAATCCGATTTGGGGCTGATTCTAACGAGAACCAGTACTTGCGAGCTTGGTGAGATTGTCCCGCAAGCTAATCACTACGGAGAAGCCCCGGAACTCCTTCAAGCTTTTCTTCGTGGAGGTTGGGGGCCTCTAGCCTTAGGCTGGAGGCTGGACCTTCTGAGGCGACTTGAGTGAACGTAGCGGTGGTCGACAGGCACTCGGTCGACGTCTCAGGCTCAAGAACATCAAGCGACGTCAGGGGGTCGTGCTGTTTGAGCAGCTGCTTGGGCAGTAGCTCGGCAAACCGTTCGGCAAAGTTGCCGGTCGTCCATCGCGGCAGCCACATTGGACTGGGCACATGGAGGCCAAAGAGCGGAACAGCTGCGGCTGGCCATCACACCAAGAAACGCCCGTCAGGAGCTCAGTCGGAATTATCTGCATGGCGGAACAGCCCTGAGACAGAAAGGTCTCGGCGGTATAGTTTATTTGTCCGAAAAACTGGGTCCGAGTGACCCCTTCCCCGTAAAATCCGATAATTGCGTCTTGATACTCATGCCAGAAGGAGTGATAACCAGCCTCGTTGATAACATCATCGCAGGAGATGGTTTGAAGCTTGACTTCTGCTTCGGCCAGGCACGTCTCGGTACATCCTTGAGCCTGCACCTTGTGCCTTACTTGATCCGCAGGAGCTCTAATGGTACCTCCTAAGCAAGTGCACCTCCTGATTCATTTGGCTCAAGCAAAACTTGAAAATTGAATATTTTCAGGTGCACACAAGATCCGTCAAGGTGCCATGCAGAGCTTGCTGGGTCGGTGCAGCCGCAGGTTTGGCCGCAGGTCAAGCGCAGCAGCCGGGCATCTGGCAAACCACACAGATCAGCTAGCTCTGCACAAGTCGTCGCAGTCGGTCGTCCCAGAGCCGAAGCAGCATTCCGCAGGAAGTTGTCGGCGATAGGCTGCAAAGCAGGATCTTGATGCAGCTGTCCAGTTTCTAATAAAACGACCGTCTCCATGCAGAATGGTAACTCACTGCCGAGGCTTGCAATCGAGAGAGCAACGTCTGCTTCAAAAGTTCGGCTGTTCCCGAAATAAAGTGTCCGAGCCCAGTCTTCCTGCAGACTCGAAGGAGTGCCCTTGTAAGCCATTACGGCTCGTTCGACAGGTGAAAGCTCATAAGCAGCTCGCACTGTAGCAATGTCCTCTGAAATCAAATCAAGTCCACATAGGCTCACATAGGCTATAGGAGACAAAAGGATGCAGAATCCAAAGCCAAAGCGAAAACAAAAGAACCCAAGGCATGTCGAAGTCTACTTGCACTCCCTCAAGGACAAGTCGAAATGACAGGAGAGGACGTGAAAACGCCAGGTCCTCTGTGCGAAGACCCCATGAAACCTGTGTCTCCGTGTTGTACGCGACCACGAAGTCTTTCTGGCCATCGCACAGCTCGCGTTTGACTGTCATCATGGTTTCGCAGAGAGGCACGAGGAGGAACAGATACGAAGCCAGAACCGTTGCTAACACCGCCAGGAAATGCAAAAATGACTCCATCTGGCTGCGCCGGTGCGAGTAGCTAACGCTGATAGGCTCGACACTTCGTATCGCGTGCTGGATCTTGATCGGTGTCATGCCCTCGAAGAGGAACTCATCCACATCCAAGATGGCGTTCAAAGCAACCGAGTTCAGCATCAGCTCCTCGATGGACGTTGTCCTCGCCAGCCATAGGATTCCGGCCACCAGCAGCACGGAGGCGATGCCTGCTCGGATGATGTACGTGATCAGCAGTGCCAGGGCGCGACCCCAGGACAGGCAGTGAATCGTGTTGTCGCGGAAGTCCGTCGCACTGGCCTCCAACGAACAACCAGAGCTCGTGTGCAGGTCTACTAGTCTGAGGGCTAGTTTCCGGAAACACAGCCAATCCGGCAACGGCGACGCAAGGGCATCGAAAACGCTCAAGCAACCAAACGAGGCTATGACTTGGCCTTTGGGAGCGTTGTGGCCGCCTCCAATGCATGCCAAATCTTCCTCAATTCCTGCAACGGGGAAGCGACAGCCCCACTGTGCTGGACCACTCGCAGTGTAGCCCAAACCCTCTACTTTGGATGCAAAACCCGGTGGCCTTGTAGACGCACAGGCTCCACAGCAATATACACAACATGCACAGAAGAGTGCCCGGCTGCCAGAAGTTGAATGCAAATTCCGTCTCCTGCAAGCCCAAGAAATCGTTAATTTGCTCCACAAGCGTGGCCTGGACCGTGGAAAGGATTAAAGACCCATCGCCAGCACACACGCGAGAAACAAGGCTCGTTCCGGCCAGGTCCAGGTAACGAGAGTCATGAGCTATGCTTGTCCGCCACGTCTTGGCATCCTGCAATTTCGTCTCGAAAGGTTCACCCATAAAGTATTCTGATAGCAGAATCTGCGAAAACGACCCCTGCATCAGCAGGTTCAGCAGCACCAGTAGCATTGCAAAGACGTTGTCAAACCAACCCACATCTGCCAAACCAAGGACCAGGGGGATGTTCCACGCACTCTCTTCAAAGCGCACAGGCGTGGATCTATCTTCCATCTCGTCTGCGGAGCAGCTGTCCGGCGCTGTATCTTGAGAGGTGGGATTCTGCGTCTCTGGAACGCCGAGCTGTCTTTCGACGGTCCCCAGGCGTGCCGTGAGGCTTTGGATCTCTGCCTCGAACTGCCGACGAAGTTGCTGCAGCCCTTCTTCCACCTCTTGAAGGTGGTTCGGAGGTACCTCGATGGCAATGCTCCGGAACTCGGAGGCTTCCGGGCTACCCTCCGTGTCGGGTGTCCCGGAGGGTGGGACCGGCGGGATCGGCATTGTGGCAAGCGTTTACTCAGCACGTGGGGTGCTAAGTTATGGAAGCGATGCCGAGAATCTCGAAGTGCTGCCGCCAATGCGCATGAAATCCCCAAGAAAATCCGGCCAGAAAGCAACGCTCACCTTGCCCTTGGACTGTTCCTGGTATCAGAAACTCTTCGATGCGTGTTGTGAACTGTTGCTGTTCTTGCTAGTTCTTTAGCTGTCGACTGTCACTCTCCGTGATCCCGCTTATGTTTCTGGCTTCTTGCAAGTCAGGCTGCTGGACATTCTTGTCTGGCCAAAGGCGAGAGGCTCAAAACAAAAGGTTCGGAATGACAAGTCTTTTTGCAACAAATCACCTAGGGTGAGTCCCCAGCAGGCAAGGCGTTTCGTTGGGGCCTCAGGGAATATTAGGGATCTTGTTCTAGGCGCCACCGTCCGTCTTTGGCAAGTTGACGTATTGCCATACAGAGAGGCACTGAACGTCCGGCTTGAAGCTGGCTTTGGTTTCGGTAACTAAGCCATCAGGGTTGGTGGCATCCCACTGAGAACGCGCAGGCTCCGCACAACGCCTGTTACACCAACCTCGTAGAGCCATGCGAAATCCCCGGAAACCATCTCCAAATTGTCCGAGCATTTTTGAGCGCAGGTTGGGAGTCTCTAGCCTTTGGCTGGACGACTTGAGTGAACGTAGCGGTGGTCGACAGGCACTCGGTCGACGTCTCAGGCTCAAGAACATCAAGCGACATCAGGGGGTCGTGCTGTTTGAGCAGCTGCTTGGGCAGTAGCTCGGCAAACCGTTCGGCAAAGTTGCCGGCCGTCCATCGCGGCAGCCACACTGGACAGGGCACATGGAGGCCAAAGGGCGGAACAGCCGCGGCTGGCCGTCACACCAAGGAACACCAGTCAAGATCTCGGAAGGAAGTGTCTGCAGGACGGAGCACCCATGGGTCAAGAAGTCCTGGGCAATGCCACTTAAGAGTGCGAAAAACTGGGTACCGGTGACGCCCTCTCCATAGTGTCCGATAATAGCTCCTTCGTACCCATGCCAGAAGGCATGCCAGCCAGCATCGTTGATAACATCATCATCATCGCAGGATATGGAATGAAGCTTGGCCCGTGCTTCGGCCAAACACGTGCCGGAACATCCCATAGGCTGCACCTTGTGCCTAGTTTGGTTCACAGCGGCGCAGGAGCTCTGTTTTCTGAAGTCTATGCGGCTTTTAAAATATTCAGAAACTGTCAAGTACACCCAAGATCACCCAAGGCGCCATGCGGAGCTTACAGGGTCGGTGCAGCCACATGTTTCGCCGCACGTCATACGCAGCAGTCGGGCATCTGGCAAACTACAGAGATCAGCTAGCTCCGCGCAGGTCGTGGCATTCGGTCGTCCCAGAGCAGAAGCAGCGTTACGAAAGAAAAGTTCAACGATCGGCTGCAAGGCGGGATCTTGATGCAGCTGTCCAGTTTCCATTAGAACGGTCGTCTCCATGCAGAATGGGAACTGCTCGCCAAGGTTGGTGACCGTGCGAGCAAGGTCTGTGTTGAAAGTTCGCCTGTTGTCCGAGAAGTAAATGGTCCGAGGCCAGTCTTCTTGCAGACTCGTTGGGGTGCCCTTGTAAGCCATTACGGCTCGTTCGATGGGTGAAAGCTCATAAGAAGCTCGTACCGTAGCAATGTCCTCATGAACACTGATCGGGAAGGAGGAAAGGAGGCAGAAGAGTCCAAACCCCGATGCAACCCCGCAGGCCTGTGGATATGTACAGAAGGACCCCTTAAGACAGGAGCATGTGAACACGCAGGGTCCTCTGTGTCCATGCCCCATGAAACCTGCGTCTCCGTGTTGTAAGCGACGACGAAGTCTCTCTGGCCATCGCACAGCTCGCGTTTGACTGTCATCATCGTTTCGCAGAGAGGCACGAGGAGGAACAGATACGAAGCCAGGACCGTTGCTAACACCGCCAGGAAATGCACCATTGACTCCACCTGGCTGCGCCGGTGCGAGTAGCTAACGCTGATAGGCTCGACACTTCGTATCGCGTGCTGGATCTTGATCGGTGTCATGCCCTCGAAGAGGAACTCATCCACATCCAAGATGGCGTTCAAAGCAACCGAGTTCAGCATCAGCTCCTCGATGGACGTTGTCCTCGCCAGCCATAGGATTCCTGCAACCAGCAGCACGGAGGCGATGCCTGCGCGGATGATGTACGTGATCAGCAGTGCCAGGGCGCGACCCCAGGACAGGCAGTGAATCGTGTTGTCGCGGAAGTCCGTCTCGCTGCCCTCCAACGAACAACCCCAAACGAACGACGTCTTGCATACGGTCCCTCGTGAGGACTACATCCCAAGTCTGATGATTCTAGAATGTGTACGAGGTGCAACTTCACCGATGGTCGAACAGGTGCAGTGCGCGAAACTAGCAGCCAACCAAAAGAAATGATCGACACAAGAACTGGCCTTTGGAATTGTGCTGGCCGCTTCCAACGCATGCCAAATCTTTCGGAATTCCTGCCATCGACGGGAGCTGAAAGTCGGACTGCGTCGGAAGACATGATTTCGTATGTAATTCGCAGTTTATCCACGCATTTCTGCCTATGGGACAACAACTCTATGTGCTCTGACACAATGCCCTCACTTTCATACACAACCCGGTGGCCTTGTAGACACACAAGCTCCACAGCAAGATGCACAACATGCACAAAAGAGTACCCGGCTGCCAGAAGTTGAAGTCAAATTCGGTCGCTTGCAAGCCCAAGAAATCGTTAACTTGCTCGATTAGTGTGGCCTGGACAGTGGAGAGGATTAAGGATCCATCACCAGCACACACACGCGAAACAAGGCTCGTGCCGGCTAAGTCCAGGTAACGAGAGTCATGGGCTATACTCGTTCGCCAATCAATTGCACTTTGCACTCTCGTCTCGAACGGATCACCCATGAAGTATTCCGACAACAGAATCTGCGTAAACGACCCCTGCATCAGCAGGTTCAGCAGCACCAGTAGCACTGCAAAGACGTTGTCAAACCAGCCCACATCTGCCAGACCAAGGACCAAGGGGATGTTCCACGCACTCTCCTCAAAGTGTACAGGAGTAGATCTGTCTTCCGCATTCAGTGCCTCGACCCTTTCGGCACTGCTGTTCGGAGATCGGTTCTGGAAGTTCGGACTGGGCATCTCCGAAACGCCGAGCTGCTTTTCGACACTCCCCAGGCGAGCCGTGATGCTTTGAATTTCTGCCTCGAATTGCTGACGAAGTCTCTGCAGCGCTTCTTCCACCTCTTGAAGGTGGTTGGGGGGCACCTCGATGGCAATGCTCCGGAACTCGGAGGCCTCTTGGTTTGGCTCCTCTTCCGTCTCCGCTGCCAGCTGTTTGCTGCTGGCCGAGTTGGGAATGGCAGGGGTCGGCATCGCAGCTGTCGGCTGAAAATTGCCTAGCGCGGCAGCACACCCTGTGCTGCCTGCTTGAGCACGATGGCTGCCTGCTTGGCTGCTTCTGATGGCCAAACACCCTCGCTTGTGTACTAAGCCCTATTCACGTCACCACTTGAATCGAACGGTGCGCAAAGCTATGGATGCCGCAATTCTTCATCCTGGCTCCAGATGCTGCTGAGAACTGGTAGTTTTGGTTACGCTAAGAAGCCAAGCTGCTCAACTCAAGTTGTGGGCGACAGGAGTTCGAGTCGAGATGTCTCGGGCTGAGGACCCTCGAGAAGGTTTGGGAGTCCTGCAGAATCTAGCGGAGCGAACCGAAACCTCCCAAACGCAGCAAAGCCATCTTTTGTCCATCAGCGCGAGGCTTGCATCTCTCGCGGTGGCCGCCAGCCTACAGCCCAGCGCACCACACCACAATCATCACCACTACAACAGAGCATCGACTAGTAGCTAGCAGTGCTAGCGACAATCTGAACACGACCACACCTTTCGTATGAAGGCCCTTCTAACGTGCCTCAGCTGGAGCTGGCAGGGTCGTCCTGTGGCACACAAGAAGCTTCAGATTGGGGGCTACAGTAGCTCTGAAGATCTATCGGGTTTGCTTACACCGCGATGACAGATTTTTTGGCCCCCTCGCGGGGTTTAGGAGCTTCGGCGCCAATTTCAAGTCTGAGCACTCATGCGAACTATGGACGACCTGAAAGGTGCAGCCTCTTAACCTTTGTTCCTCTGCAGAAATGTCGCGATATCTAGAATCGTCGACTGGGAGGAAGGCAGGGGTGCGTTGCTCTTTGATTTGGTTCCCAACGACATGCAGTTTGTTTCGAGCTACTCGAGTTCTTTCAAAGGTCGGTCGGGAGCAGCGTCTTGCCATCTTGCCACTCCTGGTAATGTTGCTCTCCCCCATGCTGTGCCGCATCTCATAGCTGCGCCGCACACGATCAAGAAAGGTCATGTGCTGCAGCTCCCATCTGTGGTTTCACAGCCGTTCCTTCTCGTCCTTCTTCATGAAGCCGTCCAGGTGTCCGGACATTCGACCCTGGCTTGGACATTGGATTGGCGCTAATTAGTCTTTGAGATGCTATCGGCACGGCGGCCCACAGCAGTAGTAGCAGTAGTCGTCGTCACCGCCGTTCGCATCGCACATAGTAGTAGTCGTCGTCGTATCAGCGCAGAAGCAGCCATGTCGCGTTCTTCGTCACGCACTTCGCCACCAGAGGCGGCTCCAGTAGCAGCAGTAGCAGTACAGTAGTAGTGCTAGTAGTGGTGTTAGTAGTCGTAGTAAAAGTAGTCTTAGTAGTACTTAGTAATACTATTAGTAATACTAGTATTACTAGTTGTACTAAATGTACTAGTACTACTAGTACTGCTTAGCAGTGCTCGTAGTACTACGCAGTTGTTGTTAAAGCAGCGACAGTAGCAAGAGGAAGTGGAGGAGGAGGACGTCTGTGGCGGCAGGAGAATGCGTCGCCGCCATCATCGCCCTCCGACAGCATAAGAACACGGCCGGGACTGCCGTATTCATCTTCTTAACCGTGAATGTGTTTGGGACATGGTGCTACTGGCGTTCGCAGGCTCGATATGTTGAGGAAGCAGCACATAGTAGGAAATTCTTGCTCCTGACGATGATGCAAATCCCATGCTGTTGCTGGCAACGTCCCCTGGAACTAGACTTGAAGGACTGCATCGGGTTAGTGCCACATTCCTTGTGCCTGCAGGATCATAAACCAGTCGTGCGATCATCGAGATGGCCTTGATATCTTCGAACTTGCCGGAGACCTTCTGGGTCAGCTCGCCGAACTGTCCCGACACTTTCCCCTTCAGGTCATCCACATGGGCCTGCCAGGAGACGGATGCAAAGGATAGGATTCTGTGCCTGCCATCGCCTACCTAGATGACACCACGTCATGCCACAGGGGCAGCAGCGGCTTCGATGTGTTGTCTAGCTATCGAGTTGACAGTCCCGTCCTGACCCGCTGCCTCCGGCTGTACACCCAAGGTTGTATGACGCGCGACAGAAGATACCACACTGCTTAATATAGTATGATATGGATGAACCCATACATTTATACACACACAGACTACACTACAAGATAATGATGCATACTATGCATACTATCCTATCCTATACTGTACTATACTATACCATGGGAAGAGTCGCATTCCGAGTCAAAGGCGGCGCACGGCCTCCCAATATGCTTGATTGTATGATTCTTTTAGGCAAGGGCAAGAAACACTCTGGAATCTATGGAGACGTGGCTTCTTCACTTCTGCCAGACTTCTATCTGGGGTATTCAGATCGCAACAGGCAACAACAAGCGTCGCAGAAGCGGCTGCCATCGGCTCCGTCAGACCCGCACCCGCAGTGGCCCTGCCTTAAGGGCCTCTGTGTCGACATGCGGGGCGTCGTAGTCCTCCTCCTCGTGTCTTGAGTAAAGTAAAACGGCGCCTGTGCTGCAGCATGCCTTGAGCTCCCTGAATATGACGTGCAGGTCGATTGTGCCCAAGAACCTCCCTGATCGGCCCCACCCCATAGGTCCGATCCCTGCTCCCATGCATTGTTGCATAGACACGCGCCAAGAGAGACACTTGACCCATCCTTGGCCGGGCAGTCTTTGAAGTAGAGACCGATCCTGGGCAGAGGGTTAAGGATTTGGGGAAGCACTTTAGGACTTTTCTTTTCAGGATAGTAAGTCTGCACCTTGCAACTGACGACCCAGGCAGGGAAAGGCCAAGCTGCTCTTCGTTCTTCTCGATAAGGTGCTCTTTGCCGGCCATGTAGTAGGTGCCTTGGGGTTTCCGAGTTGCAGGCCAAGCCATAAACTCACTATAGAAACTGAGCCTCGACAGCCAGCACAGAATCCGGGCAAGAGGAGAGCAGGAAGGCTAACGAAGATTAGCGAACAGAGGCTCCGGAAAACAAACCATGATCCTGCGGTCACAAACCGGCGTTCAGTGCTACTCATCTCGGCCCCTGCTCCGAACCAACGGCTTCCCAGCCAAAGGCCCAAAGCAAATCGTGAACATATTGGGGAAAATACTTTCTCCCCAATATGTTAAGGGAAAAACTAACTGTTTTCCCAATATGTTAGTCCCTAACTGCAGAGGAAGTGCAAGGAGGGCTGTGCTTGTAGATGTACTGCGATCGCAGGCAGTAGACCTGGCAGGGCTGTTTCTTAATTTTCGGGCTGCGGCACTGTATAGTAGAGTGGAGCGGGGGAGAATAGAGTAGAATGCAATCGAACAGAAGAGAATAGAACAGAGTAGAATAGAGTACACTATAGTTCAATGGACTTGAATAGAGCTGATTGGTGTCGACTAGGGTAGACTACAGTAGACGAGTAGAATAGAGTAGAAAGGGTAGAATAGGGTAGAACAAAGTAGAATAGAGTAGAATAGGTAAGATTGGGCAGGATAGAGTAGAACAGACTAGAACGAAATGGAATGGTACAGAACAGACTAGAATACACCATCGTAAGTTGTTAAGTATAGTCTAGTATAGCATAGCATAACATAGGATAGCAAAGCATCGTACGATATAGGATGTAGAACCATCATACAGAGTGGTACTGGTATAACATCCCTGGGCCACAGAAATCACGCCGGCTCGGCGGGATTTGCTGTGAACCAGGAGCAGGCGAGGCGCTGAGAGCAATCCTCGAATCTTTCGGCGCTCACACTCGGACAATCCAGGCGAGGCATGTGGTTCGAAGTCTGTTGGGTGAAACTAGGGCTTCGGGTTTAGGGTTTAGAGTGCAGGTTTAGGGCTTGGGGTGTAGGTTTAGGGTTTGGTGGTCTCGGGTATGTTTTCCCTCACGTCCCTACCTTATGGTTTCGGGTTTACGGGCTGAAGATCTTCTGGTTTAGTGTTTCTTGGGTACTATAGCCAGTAGAAGTGGTAGTAGTAGCAGTAGCAGTAGCAGTAGTAGTAGTAGTAGCAGCAGTAGTAGTTGTTGTTGTTGTAGTAGTAGTAGGTACTTTCGAAGCTTGGGGGCTTCCCCTGTCCCTCCGCTCCGCGCTGCTAAGCACCTGCCTTCATCCGTTGCAAGCACACGGAACAGCCAGACCCAAGCCTAGACGGTCATCACAGTGGTGACTGCTGGCCATGGCTCTAATTTACACCAGCAATTTCCCCGTAAAGTCTGTGTGTTAAACATGCTGCAATAGACTCCAAATCCGACTCTCATTATGAAGGCCCCTGTATTCGTCTTCTCCTTGTAGCTGTTGGTGTCCGCGCCATCCGATGCACCCGTCCTTCCGGCAGGGTATTTCGGTGTAACTGTGCTACGACATGAACTGAAGTGGTTTGAAGCAGATACGGAAGTGTGAAGAAGCAGAGCTGTATTCGATGGTCGTCACACCCCCACGTAGAAACCTCTGCACGGCACACTTCGACTTCTCGCCCAGCGGCAACCCGAAGATGGGCACGACGAACTTCAACAGCAGTGTATGCCTAGGCAGCTTCGTGACTTGGCGCCTCACGCCTCTGCACGACCTTCGCAGCCTAGCACCAACAGCCCGCCCCAGGCTTCTCAGAACACAGTGAAGAGGATTGGGGCTTTTGGCTCTGGGCTTGGGCTTGAGACTGTCCGAAACATCGCAGGGAATGCCCCACCACACCTACACTTTCGACCTACGGCCAGGGTACAGGAAGATGTGGGCGAAGAATGCGACGGCGCAGGCAGTCACCATGGAATCGCCCTCCATGCAGAAGTAACCGGGCTGGCAGTTGGCCTGCGGCGACTAGACACTGCCAGGCCAATTCTGGGCAAGGCCAGGCTGGAAAACGATGGCGCCGAGGAATAAACTGATGGAACTCAAGAAGACAAGTAAGATGAACACCGAAGGGAATTAGGTATGACGATGAGGAGGAGGTCGACGACGGCCGTTCTAAGTGCAAGGGTCGGAGCAGTACTACCCAGCGCAGAGAAAAACCGTACAAGGCTGCTACTGGCAAAAATGATGGCCCGGGCCTTGAAGACGAAGCAAGCAAGCATGCAGCCGCACGGGATGCACATGAGCCTTGCTGAGTGACCATGTATGGGGGTCCTGGTGTCCGCTCCGACATCAGGGCAGCTCGGTGTCCCGGAGGCCCGGAGGAGTGTACGAGGCCAGAAATATGTCTTGTGCGACTCATGTTCCGCTGAAATGCTTCCTACTTCTCTGCTGGATGCCAAGTGGCCACTGCGACCACCAATCCACCATCTTATCCTGACAGTGCAGCATGGTGTTCGGACACCAACAGAGGTGTGTAAGCAGCTGCTCTGGAATCCCACGTTGGGCTCTTCAATCTAAATCCAAATAAATGCAACTTAGCTGTCAAGTCCACAATATGAGAAACCACGAGAAATCTCCACCACCTGTGATCCTCGCACGCTCAAAGATGTTTGCTTTCAACGTAAGTCTCCTTGAAGCCCAATGTCCGGTCGTGGTGGAAGCCACCGAAAACCAAACTTCAAGCAATATCAAAAGCCCCCAGCCAAGGCTTTCGAACTACAGGGAGCTACAAGCGGAGCAAGACCGAAAGTGGACTCGCTTGTCAAACAAGCATGAGTCTAGGCCCATAACGGCCAGGAATCCTTCAACAACTCAAGCCTGAAAGTCTTATGAGTGCAGGGCTGTAGGGCGTTGCACCCTTTACCCCACGCGCCCAGCTCACCCAGTCGCACTGCACGGACTAAGCCCTTCGGGCTGAGGATTACGGATGGTTCGCGTGCATCTCAGCTTTTAGCCTGCCGTCCCAGCAAGCTTCCTCTGCTCATCCTCCATAATGGCTCATCATCACTACCGTTCGTATGATTAGAAGTAATACTATCCCCACTACCATTATTGTTTCGTGAGTAATACACCTCTGTGTCACTGAGAGCTCAGGCGAGCAGCCGTGTAGTTGCAGCTCTGGATGGATCGCAGGACCCGGTAGTGGTCGAAGGCGTAGATGTACATGTGCGACAGTGCCATGCCCAAGAACATCCTTGCCCAGGGCGGCAGCTTGGGCTTCAGGGCTTAACTTTCGACGAGGGGTTGAGCTGGAATTCCCGCCCACTGCTTTGGCTGGCAAATCTAAATCTCCCAATCTCCTGGCTGAATCCGCCCCGCTACCAGCACCGCACGACGCATGATTAAACCAAGGCAACCAAGCGTCTGGATGTTGAACCCGCCGGGGAAGAAGAAAATCAGGACCGCGATCATGGCGTCGAGCATGAGGTCGGCGTAGCGCCTAGGCTCTCAGACTCTTGGTTGCAAGACTACCCAGGCATGTTCAGGCCTGTTGGGTTCAGAGTTTAGCAGCTCGGAGATACCAACGATTGGGGTATGGTGAGGTTCCCACCCCAATCTCTGGACCCGCGCGGTACACCTAGAAACCCTAAGTATCTATCCAAGGTCCTATCCCTGAAAGCTTTCCGAGACGGAGGCGCGAAAGGTCAAAGACCAATCCGCCCAGGAGATTCTCAGCCATGAAACCCTTGATGTGGGGCTGGGTGCGGATGATGAGCACCTGAAACATTGGTTTGGGACTTGTAGGTCATGGCCTAAGTGGGTAGAGACTTGATGGGAGAAGCACAAGCGGAGATTCGGACCGCGTAGTGCTACGACATCACGAGACGGGGCACCATCAGCTTGTAGGGCGCATAGATGGTCGCAATTGGCTCAATCAGGAAGGGGATCAAGAAGGTGGCCTCAGCTGAAACTAACATTTGAAGTGAAACCGTAAAATGGAAAGTCTTGTGAAGTATGCTTGTCGTTTCACTGCCTATGATGCTACAGTCGCAACTGTGGCGAATTGTCATCCTGGACATGACCTCGAAAGCGGCGCTCGCGTGTGCCGGCTTCCTCAGGCCAGAGCGCACTCTGCCGAACCCCTGCCCCACAGAACCTAAACCCAGTCAGAAGCATTTTTCGAAAATTCCAAAGCAGACCGGCGATGCTTTGTAAGCCTGCTCGGAAGCTGCTCCGAAACGGCCGAAACGGAGTCCTCTCCAGAACCAGAGGGCCGAAGACCGAAAACCCCATGGGCGGTTGTCCAAATTATGGTCCCTTTTTGGGTCCTTATTACAATACGGCACCTAACATTTAGAGTACCCAATCAGACCCAATCGCTTTAGGGCTGCGGAAAAAGATCAGATACCAGAGACTATAGATGCGCTTTCCGCTCTTGCGGGGCCTTGTGCCAAACCTGGCGACCTGGAATGACCCTCTGCTGCTGCCCGTTTAAACTCACGGCTTTCTAAGGCGAGCAAGGAGTAACCCAAAAGCAGCATGCCAACGAAACCCAAACAAAGACAAAGAAAACCGAACAGACGAAGACGATAGCAGTGCCATGCAATTTCATGCAAACCCTCAGCCCTAAGCCGAAGCCGGGCCGCCGGGAAGGCATAGGCGTAGAGGTTGTTGGCCAACGTACGCTGCATGGCATAGGACTCGAAGCGGTCGGAGAAGGACTGGAGGTTGCTCAGCCTGAGTTGCAGGGTTTAGTCTAAGGGCCGGCATAAATAGAGTAGGGCTTTGGGGGATATTGCATTTATAGTACAAACATGATAAGACACTTCACTCCAAGGAATGCTATCCGCAAGTATTCCGCCACCGGTGTTCGCTTTGGGATGCTGTCATTTGAGTTTTTGTGGGTTGCGTCGTGCACAATCGCACAGGCAGGCACGGATCCTCGCGATGAGTCTTCTCAACTAGATTTGGTTTACGCTCTCGCACCTCGGATTCCGCCAGAGGAGGTCTCTCGGTTCACAAGCACATTGACTGAACTACGAGGGTTTCGTTAGGTTTTAGCTTGGTTCCTGTATGGGGCTCCGTTATGTCGGCTTGCTAAGCATTCGGGACGTGGGTTCAGGGTTCATGGCGGATTTGTGGTGGATGATCTGGGCCCCGGTGTCGGCATGCTACAGCATACTACAAGGAGTTTTGGGAGGTTGACTACGACACAACAACAATGTGGAACAAGATGACAGTTTGAGGAGATAAAGTCGGAAGCCATGGCATACCTGCATGTTCGATCGAAGAGAACACATCGCGTTCTCAGCAAAGGCTTCTGAGAAGCAGGGTGCCATCGTAGGTCTTCATTCGCAGGCCCACGTTCACCTCAAGCAGGCTCCATACTAAACCAGGACAATCCCATGGTTTTGAGAACTCGCCCCTTCTGTCGAAGCTGGTCCCGGCCGACAAATCGGAAGCTAGGGCTCAAGATGCTCAGGTACACTTCCCCAAGCTTCGCCTAGTGCCTCGCAGACTGCGCTGTCATTCGGACATGTGGGATCTGCTTCCAGACCACTAGTTGAATGTAACACTGCCCCGTAGGTCAGACAAAACGGCAGCATTCCTAAGGACATCACCCTGTAGGCCACCATATAGGTCGTGATCAGATCCAATGCAACGTTGAAGACGCAGGCGAAGCAGTAAAGAAGCATGTAGCAAACCTTGCAGACGGTCCGGGGCAACTACGGTTTTATTGTTTGGGCGGCTATGGCTGTGCATAGCTTGAGGCCTAAATATTGGCTGCCGTCTCAACGAAAAACCCGACACGGCCACAACAACAGCTGCGCAGCAAATTCTTAGAGCTGATGCGACAACACTTCTGGCACCATGTCCTAATGACGACGAGTGGTTCGTGCGATTGTTCTTATTACTTCTCGCTTCTACTACTACCAGAACCGGACTGATCAAACTCTACCCTTTCGCGCTGCAATGCTGAAGGAAAGGACGAGGATCATTTTCGAGGGAGGTATCTCGAGGAGTGTCTCGGAGAGAGAGAGGATCCAATGGTGCCGTCTACTGGTGCTCTCCCAAGCGGCCTACACCCGAGCAACTCAGAGACAATGCAGCTGTCGAATTACACTTTTTGCGCAGGTCTGAATGTGTTTACTCATGGTGGCACATTGGGTCGGACTGTGGATACCACCATGCGTCACATGTCCAATCGGGCTGAAATCAAACCCGTGCACGATCGTATGTTTTGCATGCTCGACATGCAACTTCGCGGAGACGCAATCGAATACGCTTGTGTCTACTGAGTCTACTGCTTTTCGTCTGGGCCGTAAAACACATGTTCCCACATGGAACTACTGACGCTCTTTTGGGCCTTGACCTCGGCTTGGTCTTAAGATGAAGATGTTCGGCTCGGGATCCAAGAATGATATATGGAATTCAACACCCCCAGTTTTTGCAGGAGTTGCCTCACGGTCGTCGATGTAGATGAAGCGAGTGCGGTCCGCCACTTCGCTGCAAACCTGGGCTCGGTTTCCCGGACTTCAGGAAGTCCAGCTATTCAGCGTTTCGGCCTTTCCTGCTGCCTTCTGAGTTTTTGGCGATTGGACTTTTCCGAGCTAGTCCTCTCAACACTTACACCTCTCCGAAATGAATCCTTATAGTATAGGTTCTCAACTGTTCAGGGCCTGAGCACAATCGGGGCTGATTTGATGGGGCGTGCGGGGTCAGGGTTATAGTAGAAGCCCAAAAGGAAACCCAACAGCCTCAATCCTTAAGAGTAATCTATAGAGAATCCCAGCACAGGGTGGAAGGAATCAGACAACGGTCCTGGAGCTCAAAGGCTAAAGAATCACCGTTCGAGCCGCTAGGTACATCAAGGCATTGCCGGCCACAACCACCATGGAGAAGGTCATGCCGGCCACGAAGCCAGGCTCCTCTCTGCTCTTATGGCTTCTTGACGGCGGGGCTTGGTGTTTGGGGTTCTTGCGGGTTTCGGGTGTAGGCTGTTAGAACATATCTGCATGGCTTAGCAGGGACGACCAATGTTGGATTGGTGCCAAGGCCTCTGGCGACATTCAGTGGACTCGTGCAGGTGCGCGACAGCAACCGAACGACCGGAACCGATCATGCAGAAACAACAACAAAAAGTGGACAGACCGTCCTGGCCATAGGAGTAGTTGAAAGTCAAAGTGAACCAGGCATAGGGGAGGTAGAAGGCCACCACCCACAAGGCCAGTCCAGCGAACATGATGCACATTCCTAGCTTGCGATTTGATGGCTTGCAACTTATCGGTCTCTGACATGGGGTTTGTAAACGCGTGAATGTGCGGGCCCAAGAAATCTTAGGCTTGGGAGGGCTTCGACTCTCACCCACACTCTGCGGGCGGGATGTCTACACAAGCACCGGCTTCACTTTGAGCATCTGACAGGTTTTACAGGTCTTCGGTTACGGCTTCGTTTTTGAATACATCCTGACATCTCTTGCCATCCGGGCCACCCATTGCGATACGCCTTGCCTTGACCAGAAGGTTGGTGTTGGCGCAGTTTGGCCACTTGACCTCAGAGATAGCTGTTTCTCAGCCGACGAAGTTGAGGCTGGAAGCCTCGAAAACGAGTGGCCACCGGACCGACTTTGAAGCCACTCCCTACAGTCCGCAGTAGATTTCTCTCCAGGATTTCTTCAACTGGCCTGCTGTTCAAAGATCTTTCTCTGTCTTGATTCTCATGCCGCGAAATGCTCCACATCCTCAACATCGACACTGACGCTACACCCAGACTCCTCAACCTTACACAAGAAGCCCTGAAGCACAGTGCTCCATGCGTACGGGTGGCAGTCTGCGGCTCAACACGCGAGGCATTAAGACGGAGAGTGTTCCCGTGGAACTCCACTCCACCTGCGTTCTAGCATGCCGTTGGTTGCAAAGTCAGGGAATGTCGGCACATCGGTGGCAAGAGTGGAGACTGAGGATAACCTGGGCTTGAGGTCTTCGCTTCACTTCACTCCGGCTTGCGGGACCTGACAAGGGGCTTCGCTCTCTCTCCTTGCTGCGCCATCCACCAGACCAGAGTCTCGCTACGCAAGGGCACGCAATGGCAGGAAAGAATGTGCGCAAAATCCACATGCACAATGTAAAACTTTGTAAAGTTGGGCTTTCTGCAGCGCCGCCATGCTGTGTTGATGTGCCGTTCGGGTCTTCCAGTGTTGATTGAGAACTTCGAGTGTTGATTGACAACTGCAGCACTTGTCGCGATTCAGCTATCAAACAACACTGGAGGATTGAATGTGTCATGGCAATAGCAGCCTGTACACGCCGGCATGCATGATGCTCGCAGATGGATGAAGCATGAGGTTTGATCTCCTTAGGAGCTACAACAGCAGCGTCTGTCATCATCACCTGTACTAAAGCTTGACTTTCAAGACGACCATACCGCCGTCGGCGTAAGCACCACCGCCACCACCGAAATCATGCTGGCTGCTGATATAGATGTATCGGTTCAGATTTGCGTCCAGTCCGACTCCCCCCGAAGGGAGATCTGCCTTCACCAGGCCACCGTGCTTACAATGCGGCCTCGGGGTATTGAAGTGGGGCTTGTTCTGCAACCTTCTCTGAGGCCGGCACCCGGCAGGGTCAAGACACCGTCACAAAGGGGAACTATGAATTATACTATGATTATAATAAGGAATCCCCAAAATAGTATAGGTAATTTTTATATAATGCCCCTATAGTTATTAACTCACACCCGGCGGCCAAGCCTGACGACTCGATCGCTTCCACCGCATCGTCGCGGGCGGCTTCCGTCTCGAAGATCGCATAAGCATCCGGGCAGGTCCTTACGTTTGACATGTTTTTTGGGGGTTTCAGAAATTATCAGGATTAACTTAGGGTTCATTCAAAGGGTTACTATGAGGGTACCATAAGGGTCCCTTAATGAGGGGTTCAGGGTTTCACAAAATTAGGGGTGGCCTTACAATAAGGAGCCTACTATTCAGGGTGCTATGTCAGGACCCCGTTTCTTCCCAAGAGCTGCATCTTGGTCCCATCTTCGTTCGGGTGCGGGACTTTGGAGAAGTGTCGGAAGGCCGGGCTGCACCAACAGAACGAGCACGCTCGAGTCGAGATGTTACGCCCGCCCCATCGATGAACTGAACGCCGGAATTGCAAAAGGGCACACGTTCACTTCACTGGGCTTGGGGCTCCAGCGATTTCGGCTCGCCAGGGTCTGGTTTTGATTTTCGAAGAAACTCCAGCAGGCTGAAGGGTTCTCTCAACTCGCAACTCATGATACTGATCCAGCTTGCGCTAAGTGGAAAGCATCTGTGCAAACGGTGCAGTTTCGACCGGTACTGGCTCTGTGCCTGTACAAGTCCGAAGGAATTCACAGAGATCGATAACGCTCGAGTGCACTGCTGAAGTCTCTCGGAAGGGTCCAGTGACAGCTTCCGTCCGAAGTTGCATTGGATATAGTATATTATAGTATATTACAATATAGTATAGTATTAATTATGGTATGTCATAGTATACAAAAGTATATTATAGTATATTATAGTATATTATAGTATATTATAGTATACTATAGTATATTCTGGTATATTATGGTACATTATAGTATAGCTCCCAAGGCGCTTGAGGCTCTTCAGGATTCCAACCACGTCCACCTCCTTGCACTCCTCGATGATCTCCTGAAAAACGCCCCCCTAAATCCAACAAATTCTGGGCACCCGAAGCTCCATTCCACGGAACCTCACCGTAGTATAGTATATTATAACCTTTTAGTGTATTATGGTATATTATAGTATATTATGGTGCATTATAGTATATTATAGGATATTATAGTATATTATGGTCTATTACTATGGTATATTATGGTATATTATGGTATATTGTGGTATATTATGGTACATTATAGTTGTGAGGCCACGAGTCGATGAGACTGGATCTGCTGAGAATACCGGACTAAGTGCTCTCCTCCTCTGGGTGGGCCAAGTTTTCTTCACGGGCCTTCTGCTGCTCCTCCTCCGACATCTCCTGGGCGACAGCACGGCAACTGAAGGGATTGGGGAGTCTTGCAAAGGTTTGAGACTTGAGGGGACAATTGCCTGTCGGCCTATGAGTGTCGCCTAATACACCCCATGATGTCAGCCGAAGCTCCCCCTTGGCCACGACCTTCTCCGCATCCGCGGCCAGGGCAGACCGCTCAAGGCGGGCAAAAAAGCCTTGTGGCTCCTCCGGCTCAACCTGGGTGTTCGTTAAGGGATTTAGTTGAAGTTACCATAATAGGGATCTATAGTAAATAATATGGCTAACAGGAACCCAGCAACTTCACGCTTCGCGGCTGGGTGCAACTCCTGCTCCCGTTCCACCAACTGGCTCTGTAGCAGGTCCAGGAGCTCCTGTCTTCTACCCTAAGACTCTAAGCGTACTAAACTCTAAACCCTAAACCCTAAACCCTTTTGCTGCAGGCTTGCTTGCAAGGACGCCTGGTAGTTTGCCGCTCTTCCTAAACCCTAAACCCTAAACTCTACAAGGGGTTCCGAGATGGCTTCTCATCTCCATTGCGCACTATATCAAGGGTGACTATATGGGCTCATCACAAAAGATTCAAAAGCAAGTCTGCCGTCTCGCACGCGGGTTGGGGCCTCCTCGTGCTCCTGGAAGTCCCAGCACACCGAGACCCCGACCTGAGCATCAGATGTCCGTGGCAGGGGCCCGATGCGCAAAACACGGGATAGAAAAGGTTTCGACTCAGGGTTGTTTTAGGTTTTATTGTTCTAGGCTCTTTTCCATCTGCCGAGCACTAAACGGAGGAGCCAGTTTGCTTTAGGGGTTAGGGTTTTGGGCAGTGCCAAGAACCAGATTACGCAAGCCAGATGTGGGCTGTTGCTCTTCGGCAGTGGGGTTGCTTGCAAAATAGGCCCATGTAGGACATCCGCGTGAACGCTCTCAAATCAACTTGCCACGTTTCCCCTGGCCGCTTCAGATAAACACCCACCCACCCACCCGTACACCTCCTCGCAGCTAGTGGCAGCTAATGTGTGTCGTGGTGTACATGTGAGACAGTCTTTGCAGATGTGTAGACGCGCGGGCCGAGGCCAGGGCGATCTTCTGGCCAGTGGCATCCTCCAAGCGCTTCTTCAGCTCATCCTCTACAGGCGCGGTCCCGTCCATCATGGGCAGGTTGCGGATGCGGGCGGCGTAGTCTTTGTGTGTAGAGTTTGTCATGTCGACCTTCTGGAAGAGTCTCAGCTGGCGAATGCCAAAGAGCACACAGGCCACGGTCGTCAGCACGTAGGCAGCGACGCAAAAGTCGATCTTAGTCCACATCAGCCTCTGCTGCGTCTCGAAACCCCATGCCACCAGAATACAGTTCTGGCGTGCTGTTTTTGCCCGGCGTGTTCCCAGGATGAGAAGCGCATCGTCCACAGACAGCGACAACATCAACCAGCCAACTGCGATGGCCAGGGACCAGAGTATCAGGAATAGCTGGAAGTTGAACTGAAGCGTCACTCCAACACCGGCCACATCCTGCAGCAGCAGATTGGTGTCAAGCGGCCATAGTTCGCGACCCTGGTCATCTTGGCCGGTCTCGGTCTTGGGCATCCGCACCTTGGACCGCGAGCGGTAGTCCAGGGCACCCTTGAGCCCATCAGCATTGACAATTGGCCGAGTGCAGATGTCCACAACCCAGGCCACGATGAAGACGGCCACCAAGCCCAGCAACCCAAAGAGAGCATACCAGTAGTAGCGGTTCTTGCTGATGCACGTGCCCTTGTCGCTTAAGGAGTAACCGCTCTCGCACCTGGCACAAGTGTCCTGGCCGTCGGTTGTGCACTCAGCGCAGCCGTAGATGATGCAGGCACGGCAGATTCCCATCCTAAGGCTCAGGAAAGGCTGGTGATACCTCGCCCTCCTCTCACACCTCATTGCGGCTTGTGGTCCTACAGTATTTTGTCGCAAACAGGTTCAAGGTTTCCGACCCCTACGACCTAAGAGCATCCGAGCTGCTTCGGGTCCGGAATGGGTTCGAACTTGTTCACGGCTGTGCAAGCCTGAGGGGTGGCCTCGACACACTCGAAGTTGCCTGAGATGGTCGGATATTTTCTCAACCGCTGAACCGCACGGCATGACATGGTCTATGCCTCTACGAAGGCTTCTCACACCAAAGAACTTTCTTCAAACCATGGTTACACCGCACAGGTGATCGCCTGCATGAATCTCTGAATGTTCCTCTAATCGACATTGGGCCTGGGGAATCATCAAGCCGAGATCCCAGCTTGTTGGGGAAGGGTGGACCTTGCTCACTTCACCTTAAAACGCCTCCCAGCCACAATCGACGTCATCCCCGCGGTCGTCAGCGTAGACGGGGCACTCCTCGTCATCGCAACACCGTTAAAGCAGGCAAAAACACAGCAAACTACCAAGATTTGGACTGCTGCCTTAGGGCACGCCAGAAACTTGTCGGACGCCGAGTTCACGACCTTAGAGGGTTTGACACGGCCCGGGCACTTTTTCGCACTCTGCTGCTTTCTTGCCAAGCAGCCTTCTTGTCGTGGCACTTCGGGGCCTGCATTTTCCAAGTCACCACTCAGATCAGCATCACCAACATTGCAGATATTGCAGATTCCATTGTCATCGTAACAAGTGAAAGGCCCTTGGCCGCTGCCGTGCGAACACCATCAAGCCTGTGTGTCCCAAGCCCTTTGCAACAGCACAGCTCATGACCCCTGAAACGCTTATACAACTGAAAGCTCGTGCTGCAGCCAGGGGACAGGTAATCCCTTCGTCTGCAACCACGACCTCGGCTTGTGCTCTGAGACCTATGCATGCAGCCGGCTTAGCCTCGAAGAATAACGAGCCCAAACTCTGACTCCTGCCTGAAGCAGAACTACCGGAGAATCCCACAAACCTGAAAGCAGGCTCCAACATGCTCCAACTGTGCAGACTACCAATCATCACTCCCAGCATGATCATCACGATCCCAAGCATGATGATGACAATTACCATCCTGCAACTGATGATGGCCATAGCAAACCAAGGAGCTGGGGCGATCGCCCGAGATTGGAGCTGGAGGCCTCTTATGCCCGGCAGAGACTCGACAGTAAGACAGCAACAGTTATCATGAAGAACCACAAGCAGTGTGATGACATCAGCTCTAATAACAATGGCGAAGATGTCTATGCCCCACTATGCAACCCGGGATCAGGCTTAGGCGCCGAGTATGCCCAGTCGGACTCATTTAGAGTCCCCTGTGCATGTAGCCTCACAATCACGTTCTGAAACGACAATGCAATAGAGAATGCCTTTCATCTTTCAACACTGCGGTTTGCCTACGCCGCAGACACCTACTTAGCCCACTTTCGAAGCATGCAAGTTGAAGCTGCCAAGCTCCCCCCAACTCCAACTGCTAAGCCCAGCCTCCGGCACAAGGCTGGAACGAGCCTGATGCAAGATGCCATGTTCAAGCTTCTTGGCAATCACCGCGACCCTTCTGTTCATCTTAAGGGAGACACAGTGAAACTCTCCAAAGCGCAATCCTGCGCTGCCGGAAAAACACCATGCGACGGACCTGGCCTGTGGAGGAGCGACACGCGCGGCCGCAAAGACGAAGAGCGAAGTGAAGAGAACAAGCTGCATTGTAGCCTAGCTTGGGAAAGCTGAGTACAAACAACGACAGGCCGGAAGCCAAGATCCAACATCCTAAACTTCAAAATCCAAAACATCACGGCCTGGTCGCGCACGGTGGTGCCAGGCATGACTACAGTTAGAAACTCTACTTCTCTGCCCAAGGACCAGGCCACAACCCATTACTCGTGTTTCGACTACCCAAACTGTGAAGCCTGCGCCGGGAGGCTAGGTGGAGGAGAGCAGCCAACTGCCAAGGCAAGAGCACGTCTCCGCAGAATCGGCGAAAAGCCGAAACGGCTGCCGAGTTTGCACGTCAGGGCTGAGTTTACAATTCTGTCGACTGCGGGGTCTTGACTTGGCTGAGTGCATCAAGGATCCAGAACTTTACGTAGCACTGTCCTCAGCGAGTACATTCGGGAACTGCCTGGCTATCATTTTAGAATGTTGCGTTGGGTGCAATGCGACGAGTAAGTGTAAATCAAGACTTGGAGCATAAGCTCAAACAGAGGTGACAAATTGACAACCTTTTCGGCCGAAGCACAGATTTGTACTGCAAATGAGCATCAGAAGAGGAGCCACTAGCAGCGACCCCTGCAAGTCAGCACCAGGGCAGCCCACCCGATGTCCATGTCCACCGGGTATGAGCATCAGAGGTGTCCCATTTCAGCATCGGATCATGCCGCTCTCGGCCGGCTGCCAGGGCATAGATGTCCTTGGGTTGGCGTAGAGTTTTCGGGAGACGGCGAACTCTATTCGCCGTACATGGCTAGAGGTGTCTTGACATTCGCACATGTGCCCAACGTTAAGCTACTATGTATGCTTATCTTCTCTTATTTGCATGTGGTGCTGCCGCGACTAGCAGTTTTCCATATTTGCTGCAAAATGTTCATGCGCTCATGCTGCTGCATGGCATGACACGCCATCGTTTGCAATCGGTTCATTCCACTGTGTAAAGCACATCATTCGATTCTGCTCTCCATGTTTCCAACATGAACTATACTCTTCAGCAGGACTACATTGCCTTCTGCATTGTTCCACAATCCTAGAGAATTCCAAACTTCTGCAGCACAGACTGGCATAAACATGTCAAAAAGTTCCTGGTGCTCTTCTTCACTTGGTGCTTTCGCGATTAAGAACAACCATGCTACATTCGCGGCAAGGCCGTATTCTGAAACGTTCGGCACGCTGGTGGCAATCAGACTAGCTGCTTGGCTGCTGTACGGACAGTATCAGTAGATAGCCAGACATGCAAAAAACGATGCAGTCGTCTGAAGGTCGTGCCCGTGCACCTCGAGGCCATCAAGTGTCAGGCCGTCAGGTTCCATCCCGCGCTCGGAAGCGAAAGTTGCTCGGTTGAACGCCGCTCGCCCTTGCAGAAGCTGGCGCAATAAACCTGCCCGAGTTGAGGCTGATCGAAAGATCGGCCCCTCAACCCAAGATGATGTTGCTTGGGGCTGTCAAAGAGCAAGCACGGAAAAAGGTATGCTTTGCAACATCCGTTCAAGGCTCACGACAGCAGCCCGGAGTTACATTCCCGAGAAACGGAACCATATTGTCGCCTGAAGCCCACATGCACATAATCCCAAACTCCGTTCGAAGACTCCGTTTTTATCTTTTTCCCCTTTTCTGGATGAGGGAGGTCTTTGACTGTCACGATAGACCCTCTAGCCACCCTCACGTCGTGAATCCCAAACGGCCCACAATCCTTTGCATCTCCTTGGGTGCTTGCGCTTTAAAGGTGCCTAAACTCTGAAACCCTAAGCTCCCAAAACCGCAAGCTCCCAAATCGCCCAAACTCCTGAACCTCAGGTTCCCAGATACCACCCGAAGCTCGCGAAACCTAAACCTCCTACCATAAGGGCCTTAATAATTAGAATGGGGGTTTGGGGGCCCATTATACTATTTAAATAAGGAACCCGAGGGAATAATATTGGTAATTATAATAGGGAATCCCTAGAATAGAATTGGTGATTCTTTTAAGGCCCCTATGTCAGATCCCGAAGCCCCTCTTTTTTTCCGAGGTCAGCGGGTCAGACTGGGAGGCGCCGGAACCTCGGAGCCCACGGTTTTGGTTTAGGGTTTAGGGATTGTTCTCTCCCGCATTGCAGGGTACTTGGTTGGAACATCGGACTACAGCTAAGGTTTCATAGCCGATTGTATCCCGGACTTCAGAGTAACTTGCTGAGTCTGGTTTCCAGGTGATGGCCTACATTAGGGATTCGGGTTTGGGGTTTTGGGTTCAGGGTTTAGGGTAGGAGCCCGCGGCGAAGTGAAGAATGGGCGTAACCCCGAAGAGTCTTGACGATAACCTGGGATAGAACCACAGGTTATACGACTCACAGAAGGACAGAATGATAAGATGGATAATGGCCATCAAACAACGTAGTCGCAGTACACTGTTCAGAACACCATACAATTGACACAATTCTCCTGCACAATACTACCATTAACTCATAAGCGTGATCGTAATACCCTTCGAGTCGATAAGAAAAGCCATGGATGTCAGCCAAGCAATGTAAAGGGGCCTTTCGAGGGAAACATGTTCTCGTTGTGTTTTGTCGTGTTGGCGGTTAGCTCGGAATCGTGGTGTGGTGCGACCCGTGGAAGTCTGACAGATCTTTCTTGTGCCTGTCTACTGAGTTCCAACGGAGCCGTCCTGTACTACGATACGCCCGAGGCCAGGAATGACATCCAAAAAACTCGAACAAAAAATGTAAGTTAGAGCTTTAGGCCGACAAGGCACCGGCCCCCAACAGTAAAACCCGGCTCCCGAGCCCTCCTGAAGTCGAACACCACTCCAGCAAATCTTTTCAAACTTGTTCCAAAAGTCCCGAAGAACGCGAAGGAAAGCCCCCACAACCCGAGGCACGAGCTCCAAAACCCCAGCTGTTGATGAAGCTCTTGGCTCCCGGGCGTTTTGGCCGCTTCCCGGGTCGTCCAGGAACCTGGGATGGCAAGCTAAATGAAGTTAGTTCTGGGTGCGTTGGGCCGCCGCAGCAGCTCGCAGACACACTATCTTGAAACGGTGACCCCGAAACAGGGCTGAAAAATGTCGTGCCAAGCCGCTCGAACTTCTATGGCGAGACCTCGGAAGCTCAGATGCAACATTGCCCCCAGGCGCGAACCTTTGCAGCCTTCACACATGGATCCCACACGGTGAAACCCAATTGCCAGGTTGCAAAACTCAAACACTGACGCGGCTTAAATGAGGGTTACTGAGGCCCTCACCGTCCTCCGACAAGCGGGTGGTGTAGGACTGCTGCTTCCACTGCGAGCTAATCCCCTCGCCCGTGCGCAGGTCGAAGCAAACCTGGTAAGAATCTTCAAGGCCGATGACTTCGTGGACCGATTCTGTTCCTAGTGATGCACGGAACAACTGAAGGCTGCAATGAAATTCAACCTTTGCTCAGTATATACATAATCAAGGTAATAATACGAATAATGCAGACAGTAATAACTAAATAGTAATAACAGATAGTAGTAATAAAAATAATAATTATTCAAATTATTATTATAGTAGTAGTAGTAGTAGATACATACTACAACTATTAAAAGAACAAGAAATATATAAACTCCTCATAATCAGACAAACAGTGATAATAGTAATTGTAGTTACTGCTAGTTCGGATCACACTGACAATGCTACAATCTCGGTTCAGGACCGTGAGGATGCATGCGCAGAAATTAATGCCGGATCGGAGCCCCATGACCCGGACAGCGAACAGCGGGTGCGCGCTGGCACCCCTCTGGCAGGTCCTCGGTGAGTTCGTCACAGTTAATATAGCCAGCTGTAACTCTTGGGCGGCAGCTTGACATTGTTACAACTGCTTTCAATGTGAATTCAAGTTACACAGACCTGGGCACCTTGCAAGTGTATACTCCCTCTCATACACACACGAAAGGCGAAAGGAGTGCAAGAATACGAACCAAGCCTCCCAACACCTTCTTGCCTCTGTAGCCCTCAAGCTTAAGCCCCTGACCCTATTCAAGGTCACAATCGAGATCCTCATGCTCAATGGCCATACTGACATACTGCAAGCTGTCAAAAACATCGGGCGTATGAGAGCAGTCCACCTTACGATGCTAGTAGTAAGGGCCGGTCCATGTCCTGCACCTCACCCGAGGCAAGGGAGGCCCCCGTGTGGCTGCAGCGGTTCCTGGGATCGAGCACCGCAGCTTTGGAGTAAGAGGGTCGGCTTTTGTTGAGAAGTTTAGGGTTCGGCATTTTGGCAATACTGTAGGGGTGCTGGGCTGGGTGCTCTCTATAGGGGCTATGTTTGACATGGGCGAGATTACACGAAAAGCCACTACAAGTAGCAGGAGGGCCCCAGGTTTCACATCTGGATTCAGCAGTTCACACTCCCCTGCTTGGCGAAGTTTAAGCGGAATCGTCATGGGAGCCACAAATGTCGCTCCCATGAGGACGAAAGGTCAACTGCCCCTCCAAGGAGGTAAAGCTACAGAACTTGACTACATGGCCTGAAACATGGTAAGCAGAGGAAACGGGTCCCTATCTGCACATCCGAGGCTCTGCAACGCAAAGATTTCCCCTTTGGAGCGGAAGAGTGCGATCTCAATCTCATGTCCATCTGGATGCCTCGGCCAGACTCAGAACCATCTTAAGCCCAAACATGAAGGAAAATAGTTGCATGGTGCTATCATGATGACGACTGCATCACCTAGAAACAACCCTACAGACTGTCGACTTCAATCCATCGTCCCGAGTTCGTCCAAGATGCAGTGGGCTGACGGCGCAGCCCTTCCCGTCTTGCAGCTCATCGGCCGCGCAAACACGAAGCCAGGTATACTCGGCTTCGCTTACCTCGGGCCCTTCACTGTGGGAATCGTCGGCACCACTCTCGGCAGCACCTCTCATCTGGAACTTCAGGTGTTCTGGTATAAGCTCTTCATAGTCTTCGTCATGTGTGTAGCTCAAGCAGACGGTATCTGCAGGACCGTTGTTCCAGCGCGCCACATCGTACTTCTGCTTGTACTCTGCAGTCCGGCGGAAAGCGAGGCTCTTTGTCCAGATTATCCTGAGCTGCAGCGAAACCGGACATGCAAATTCGCATCGCGGTGGAAAACACTATGTGACAATGGATCAAATCCAAACTCCTCCCGGTAAATGCAACGTCGAACGGAGACTTCTCAATTAACACAGAACTCCTTGACAAAGCAATTACGATGGTTCAAAGTCTGCACACCAGGCAGGCTTCAGAGATGCACGCTCGCCGCTTTCAATGTCCAGGGCCCCATGTCGGTGCTTCCCGCAGTGCATGACACACTGGCCCTTGACCTCGTCTGTTGCTCTATGAGCCAATCAACAAATGTCTTGTATTTCTGCGTGGTCGTGCGCCCAAACAGCCCGTTGAAGGCTCGCACCATGCCGTGCCAAACACATCCAAGTAACATGCTGGTAGGTGAACCGGTGCTTTCGGTGGTCATCGTCGCAGAACAGCCCACAGAACCTGAGACAACCAGCTGTATTCTCACACGATCTCTTGGCTAGCCGCACCCAGCAACCTAGCGCGGACTGCTGGCAAGTGCAGATCATCTTCATCTAACCACATTGCGTGAAACGGCATTACGTACTTTCCCCTCCGTCCTAGCTGTCCCAGCTTGTCAGAAACCAAGACAACGAAGACTCTGCCACATTCCCATGTCCTCCGCTGCCAAGGCTCGCCAGCTCACTGCCCGTGATGTTTTCAGCGGAGAGCCCAAAGTTGAATGTCACGTCGCATTCGTCGATGTGCATGTCCAGGTGCTTGTCATTGTCCGGCCTCGGATTTGCCAGCCGAGTCTGCTAAAGAAGAAAGCCCGCACGCCCAGAAGGGGGGCTGCATCAACAAGCTGTAGTGAGCCGGTGTCCTGCCGGACTCTACTGATTGGTTTTCGTTATTGGACCTGTCTAGATCACCAGGGCAAACTTGTGCAACGTCACGTCGTGCCGGGCTAGCAGGGTTACTCGGCACTTCCAATGCGCCATCGTCGTGCTTAGGGTTTAGGGTTTAGGGTTTAGGGTTTAGGGTTTAGGGGTTTAGGGGTTTAGGTTGTGTGCGGCCCCGCCCCACTAATAGTGGGCAGAAACAGAAGCACAAGATGAAGCACCAGGGAAATGCTGAAATGTTGACTCGTTTGTGATCATGCTCGCATGAATGGAAAACGCAAGACTGAGACAACAAGTAAACTGCCACCCCATGAGTTGCAAACACAGTCACACCCCTGTTGTTTTCTCGGATTCGATCTTGAGCAAACATCAGGAGCTGCAATGCCTCTGCGCGACTAGGGGGGGCGGGGCGGGGGGGGCTGGGGGTGCTGGGGGGGGCTGAGGGGGCTGGGCTGGAAAGCTGAACGGACGGGGGGGTGGGGGGCGGGCTGAGGCCGGGCCGGGGT